CCCTGAATTTATGCAAACGAGGTCTTTACAAGGAAGATCCCTAACAGGCCCAAACGCAGCAGCTTCAGGAAGTCGTTCTCATCCTCCGCTCCGGATCCCGGAACAGAGAAGAATTGAAAAAAAAAAAAAAAAAAAAGTCAAAATCCGGACAACCCTCCCCTTCTGCCCATCAACTTCGTTTTCCCGCGGAGGCCGGCTTCCCTGCTTAAAGGGGCCTCTCCCAGTTTTGACTTTCTCTCCCCTTGCCTAAGAAGGACAGGCTGGTTCCTCCTCTTCCTCCTCCTCCATCGCCCAGGAAGCAGTGCTCCCACCCCCACGCCCCCGCGCAGCTGGGATGTTAAATCCGGCAGCGACGACAAAATCACTTAAAGCAGCAAATCAATAAAGCCACTCTTTGTTGGGTCTGGATGTGTGGTGGTGCAGGAGTGGGTGAAGAAGCGTGTCCCCACCCCCAATACCATTGCGGGGTGCAAGGGGCGCGGGTCAAAGGTCCAGGGCCTCTGTAGCCCAGTCAACAGTTTTCCCAGCGGCAGCTGCAGCGAGGAACGTGGACACAAAGAGAGACTTCTCACAACTTAATATTTTGATCTTGTATGTATTTTTTTGAATAGGGGATACAAGGTTCAGACTTGACAAAGGTACTAAAAGACCCACCCTCCACCCACACCCGTCTCCCTCCCACAGGCCACTGCTGTTACCAGTTTGTTTCTGCTTGGGAAGATATTCTGTGCATGGAACAAGCAGAAGCTTATATTCACACCCCCCCCCCCTTTTTAAATGATTATACACTCTTGTCCCTTCTTTGCTCTTTTGCACTGATCGGATACATAGCTCATTCCGTGTCGGGTCGTTCATTGCTTCCCCATATTGGGCGTACTTCGTGCCCCACGGTGGGTCGGACCACAACTATTTAATGCCTCCCCCATAGATGGACAGCTAGGTTGTTTCCGGGTTGGTTTCTCCTTAGGCATTTTTAGGAAAACAAGACCGGTGTTCCCCATCCCTTGGTTAGTATTTATCAAGAAACGGGCGGGAGCCTCCACCTGCCCGCTCCCTCTTTGCCCGCATCCGCCAAGGGCACCCCCTTGGACCTCTGGACCGGGGTCGCAGAGCTCCGCCCGGGCATCCTGCGCCGGCCCCGCCTCCCGGGAGCTGTCAGGCGCGGGCTGGGGGGCCCCCCGAAGCCCCGCCCCGCGGCTGGCCCGCGATTCAAATCCAGCCAATGGCAGCGTGTAAACAAACCCAGGCCCCGCCCCTCGATGAAAAATTACCGGGGGGGCCGGCGCTCGGCCCATTAACCCGGCAGGGGCTGTGGGCGTGGCCAGGCCGTGGCCCCGCCCCTGAGCGTGAGCCAATGGGCGGCCAGGCCCCGCCCCTCGCACTTGCCGCGCTGAGGACCCGAGGCCGGGCTGGGCTTGCAGCTGCCTGATTTCCTCGGCGCTGGCGGCTCGGGCTCCGCGCGGGCGGGCAGGGCCGGGAGTTCGGGATGCGCACTCTCGCCGGACGAGCCATGTTTAAAAGGGCGCGGTCAGAGGGCGGAGGTCGCCGCGGCGTCCGTGCTTTCTGATTCCCCTTTCCTTCCCCTGCCTGGCGGCTAAACAGATCCTGGACGGGTCTTTTGATGGAAACTTGGAGGAGCCCAGGGCTGTTTTGGGATGGGGCAAGGCTCTTTCGTGTTATGTCCCGTCTTGTTCTCGAAGTGTCGCCTACACCCAGAAGAGTGCACGGATCGTAAGGGGGCTGCTTGGCGGCAGACCCGCGGCGCCGGCATCCCCCCAGAACGAGAAACAGAACTTGGGTTGGCGGAGTTTTAAGCTTTGCAGCCGCCAGGGCAAGAAAGGAGCCGCCATGGGTGTTGTTTTGATTTTCAGAGGCACAAACCACTTAGTAGAAAAAAGAAAGAAAGAGAAAAGGAAAACCCTCTCTCTGCAGAGAGATGGCAGTCAGGCCTGCCATTGATCAGGGTCCCTTTGGGTAGGAGAGGGGGGTTGCTGGGCGGGCCCGAGGTGCAGGGCTCAAGTTAGCGGTGGAGGGGGTTAGCATCCGGTTGGGAGAGCTGGGGAAGCATTAAAATGAGTGGGTGAGATAGAAAACGCCATGGTGCTTGGTGGAGAGGGGGCCTCTCCGGGCTGGAAGGTTGGGTGGGGAATGGGGGTCTTGGAGCCCACGTGCTGGATGTGGAGAGGGCATCGGCCCCCTGGGACAGGGCAGGTCAGTTTTTCACCATCCAGATCGTTCCAGGGCAAATAGGGGCTTTCCTGCAGTTCCTTTTCCAGTTGCTTGGGTATAATTAAAACCATGGACTAAAGGTTGAGATGAGGGGCCCAGAAATCCAGGCTCGTGTCGAGGTCGCGGGGTTTTTATCACCCCAGGTCCCGTGTCTGGGGTTACGTTGGGTGTGGAGTGGCTGCGGGGGCCTTTAGGAGAAGCCATTTGTCTCACAAGGAAGCAAACTTTTTGGGGGGCCCTTTATTCATTCAGCAAACATTTGTGAGTTGTCTGGCACCTTCCCAGCCTTATGTTAGGAGAGGAAAGACTGTGACCCATAGGGGATTAAGTCCCAAATAATTGGCGGGCAAAGGACCCTGTGTCACGAGCCCAGCTGAACACAGGGGTGCAGCATATTTGCTGGTTGAGGAAGGTGGGTGCATTTTCCCTGGTCTGGCTTCTCACATCTGTATGCTGCTTTGTCCTTGTCCCCAGAGATCTTCCATGTCCATTGTCCCATTGCATGCTCTCCATAGTCCCCATAAAGTCTGGACTCTGCGGACAGACAGCTGGGTTTGGATTCTTGGCTGTGTGGCCTTGATCTGGTTTCTTACCCTCTCTGAACCTGTTTCTCCTTCACAAAAAAAGGCTAGTGTTGAGATTTAAATGAGAGGCGGCACCTTCCCCAGGGGGTTGTTATTATGGTTATCAGACTGGGGAGTTAGATAGGATTACCTTGAACAGATATCCACAATGCATCGAAAAATAAGATGGATTTGATGGATGGATAGATGCACAGATGTGTGATAAGCAAGGAGAGTGACCTGCTGATGGGCGAACCTAGGGGTTGGGGATTTAGGTGTTCCCTGTAATATTTCTTCTGCTTTTCCATGTTTGAAAATTTTCATAATAAAACGTTTGTGGGGGCAGATTTCAGTGCCTGACTATGCACCCCCATTGGACAGATGAGAAAACGCGGGAGCTGGAGAAGGGACGTGCCCCAGGTCCGTCTGGTGACTCAGAGACAAAATTGGTGACAGAAGACCTGGGTGTACTGAGTTAGTCCTCACCCTGGCTCAGGAGCCCCGGGCCAGTCGCTGAACCGATCCAGGTTTCACTGCCAGCTCGCTTCTTACCCTGGAACTCACCACTTGCATCAGATTCTCAAAAGGAAGGGGTGTGTCACCCCCAAAGGCCAGCAGGTCTCTTTCCACGTGGGTCCTAACTGACCCCTACACTGGCCTTGGACGTCGGGTCCTCCGGGGCTGTGCCAGCCGTGGCTGGGTTTGGGGCCGGCCTTTTGTTGGCTCCCTTCACACTCGGCGAGGCCGGTTCCCAGTGGCATGGCCTCATGACCACCTCTCCAGGTCAGGTGTGCCTATGGGAGGGTGGGTACGGCTCATCTCTGTTCAGCAGAACTTTCTGGAGCACTAAGTGCCAGGCACCATTCTCGAGGGGCAGCAGAGCAAGCTGGCACCTGCCAGGGAGGGCTGGTGGGGGGGGGAAACTGAGGCTCCGTGACTTATTCGCTTCCTTGCTTATTGTCTGTGTTCCCTAACAGAGCTGTGTGCGTGTGCCGGTGGGGAGGGGTCTGGTCACTACGAGACCCCTGGCACTCACCAGATCCGGGAACAGTATCTCCTGTATGAATGAATAAACGTGGACAGTCGCCCCCCCCCCCCCCCAAGTGCTTCAAGTCTGCTCACTTTGAGCCACTCAGTCCTCGGGGGCTGGCAGCTACGACAGAGACACCAGTGCCACCGGGCTCAGCTCAGGCCCCACTTCTTGGTTGCGTGACCTTGGGCCAAACCCTCCCCTCTCGGAGCCAGTTTGGTTTTCTACGTGGTAAGATGGGAGTAACTAAGAGTTTCTAGAGGGTTCTCTTCCTGGTGGGCAGGACTGAGGACCGGAAACACCGTGCTCAGCCCTCAGTTAATGCGCACTCCCTGCGTCTTGTCCAATGGGCTCAGATGTAGCAAACGGGACAAGCCACACAAAAATAAACCTGCATATTGCTGTTTCCTGAAGGGTCACATACCTCCAGCGGGCCTCAGAGGACCACCGTGTAGGTTACAGATGGGCCGCTGTCTTGCGTTCGTTCAGGGCAACCCATAATGTGTCCACTTCTGGCATTGATCACGTTTCCTTTGTATGGAACAGTCAATAATAACAGAGAGCGCTCATCTGGCACTTCCTGTCAGGCTCTGCTCTCCGTCATAGCTCATTTCCTCCTAATGACCCTATGAGGTGAGGCCTGTTATTTAGAGAGGAGGAAATGGAGGCCCGGAGAGGTGAAGTAACTTGCCCAAGGTCACACAGCACGGAAGTGGCCAAGGCAGGATGTGAACTAGGGGCTCACGGGTTTGAGTCAGACCTCTTCACCTCTGAGGTTTCTTAAATAATACGGGTAGCACCACCAAGATACCAGGATAAGTGTTAAAGCTTAAAACAGAGAAATGTCTCAATCACGCATTTATTGAATACACATTTATTGAGCGGCTTCTGTATGCACGAAGCCTTTCTAGGGCACTGGGGAGACACAGGATATTAAGACACCAGACTATAAGTCCCCCTGGCCTGTGCGCCCGGGGAGGGCAGGTCTGGGCTGTCTGGGTCCCCGCTAGGCCCCCAGCACGGCGCGGGGCACACAGTAGGCGCTCACCCAGCGTTCCCTGAATGAAAGCATGAATCTAAGCGTCCCCCCCGCCAGGCGTTCACGGCCTGGTGGGGCGGAAACGGACCCAACACCACCGAGACGTCCCGGGGCTTCTGGGAATCTCTTGGGCGCGGTCCGAGAGGCCTCGAGGAGCCTCAGAGGCAGGAGGGACCTGCGTCCCCGGCGCCCTCCCCGGGGCCGGGGCAGCTCGGCCACGATCGAGGCGGGTGAGTGATCCAGCCACGCCCGGGGGGGCCTGGCCAGTCGCCCCAAAGCCTCCGCCACCTTCCACCCTTTTTGGCTCCGACTCCCAGGTCCTTCGCGGTTCCACCCGCGCGGCCTCCCCTCCTTCTCCATCCTCGACCCCCGCTACCTTTTCGAACCTTCGGCGCTCGCCCTGGGCGCGTCTCTCCCGCCCGGCGATCGTCCCCCTGCGCCGGGGGGGCGCGCCCAGGGCGCACGGCGCCCCCTCCCCAGCCGGGCCGGGCTCCGGGGATCTGGGTGCGCCCATCCCTTTCGCCTTCCCCCTCCAACCCGGAGCATCACTCGAGCCAGCCGGCCGCCTCCACCGGAGCCTGGGAAGGCGCGCCCCCGAACCCCGGGGACCTGCGCTGGGGAGGTGGGGGCGGCGCCGGCACGGAGGGCACCCTCCCGGAGGCCTCCGCAGCCTCCCATTCGCTCCAGTGCCCGCCGCTCGGCGCCGGCAGCCGGGGCTGGTTTGCGGAGCCTCGGGGCGGAGCCTCCCGCAAGCCCGTCCCCCGGCGAGGGCGGAGGGAGGGAGGGAGGGAGGGAGGAGGAGGCGGTGGAGGAAGGGGGGGGGCGGAACACAAAACCTGCAAGGGTTTTTTTTTTTTTGCTTTTGCATTTAATTAAAAAAAAATTTTTTTTTTTTTTTTTTTTTTTTTGCAAACCCGAGGGGTCCTCCCCGGAGCGCGCGCGCGGGGTCCGGGACGCCCGGGCCGCGGCGCGGGGCGGCGGCAGGGGCCCGGCGGAGGCTGCCGGGCGGCCGCCATGCGATCAGGCAGTGCGCTGACCGGCCCGGCCGGTCGGCCCCTTCTGGGTCCTCCCTTTGCAGCCCGTGCGGGGCCGTCTCGGAGACCCCGCGCCGACGGCTGCTCAAACATCAGGGTGAGTTTCTCACAATGTAGCAATTTCTCTTTAAATCTCTTAACTCTCTCTACCTGCGAGTCGGGGCTGTGACAGGGCGCAAAAGCGAGGGGGGGAGTGGGGGTTGGCGGCGAGGGTGTATGTGGGGGGAGCCGGAGCCGGGGCCGAACCCACCCCCCCGACACTCGCACACGCAGCCCCCCAACCGGGGCGCAGCGCCCGCTGCCTCCTTTTTTTTTTTCTTTTTTTTTTTTTGGGCTGCGCGCACCCCCCCACCCCCGCCGCCCCCCCCCACCCCTGCATCCTCTCCCACCATCACCGCCGCCCCGATCCTGCGGGGACCCCCCCCCCACGGGGCTCCCTTGCCCAAACCCGGCGCCCGGTGCCTCCCCGGCCCTCCCGCCGGCTGCCGGGGATACAATGGAGCGTCGGAAAAACGAGACCGAACGTGCCACGGGGGGGAGGGGCGCGGAGACCCCCTCCCCCCGCCCGGGGCCCCCCCTCCCCTCTCGCCCGGCTCCCCGCCTTTCGGGGAAGCGGAGGGCCGTGGGGGGCAGCGGATGGCGGTTTCCCGGCCAGACGCCCTGAGCCTCCGTGTCCCCGGCCCGTGCGCCCCCTCCCCACATCCCTCTCGGGGGGCGCCGGGGAGAAACGGGGCCTCGGGCGAGCTGGGGAGGGGGGGATGCGGAAGGAGGCCCCTGGGTCTCCCCCCTCCTCGCCGCCCCGACACAATGAAAGGGGTTGCCTTGGTCCCCCACCCCCCAGCCGTGGAAGGAGGGGACCCCCCGCCCCCGCTGGCGGGCTGGTCCCGGAGGGGGGCCGTTCCGGGGTGGTGGTGGGGGGGTGGTGGTGGAGGTGGAGGGAGGGGAGCCTTACCCCTGTCACCTCCCGAGATTTGGGGCGGCCCCCGGGTCCACCCCCTCGGCTGGGAATGGGAGCAGCAGGCCCGGCCCCGGGCACCGCGCTCGGGTGGTGTGACCTTTAGACAAAGGCAGCCGTTCCCCGGGGTGCGCCCGGGCGAGCCGGGCCCCTGCGGAGCGCGGCCGGGCCGCGGGCACCGAGGCAGGGATGGAGGGGGGGGGGCAGGGATGCAGCCATCTGGCTCCCCCATCCCCGGCTGCCCCTCGCCTGCGTCCCCGGGGCTCCTGTCACGGGGCGGCCGCGGGGCGACAGGAGCCCGCCCGGGGGCAGCGGGCCTTGGTCGGCGGCCAGCGGCGAGCCGGGCGCGCGGGCGGGCGGGCGCGGCGGGGATTGGAGGACACCGAGGCCCCTTCCTCTCCGCGCCCCTTTGTTTTGCTTTGTGGTTGTGAGCAGCTGAACTGCCCGGGAGGTGGGGTCAGAGGCCGCCCTGTCAGCTCTCCCGGGGCGGCCGGGGTGACAGGTCGCAGCCCTCTTGGGGTCCCCCAGGCCCCGGGGGGGGGGGTGCTGCAGCCCGTGCCGCGCGCTCCTGTGCGCACAGTCAGCCCCTTTTGGCACCCAGCCCTCCCCTCCTTTCCCGGGGGCGCTTGGCGGGGACGCGTGGTGTACCCTGGGGTTTAGGATAAGTTGTCTGCACTTTTCAGTCTCTCCCTGGGGTGACGTTGGGGGGGGGCTCGGTCAACTCTGACCTCTGGAGGGAGGGGTGGGGAGAACAGGGGAGGTGGACAGCTCAGGAACCACCCCCTTCCCCTGGCCTGTGTCCCTGGGGACTTAAGGGCCTGTTTACCTACCCCACCCTCCCCCATAGCTCCCCCACTCCTCGATGCCGGAAATAACAACATCTCCCTACTCAGGGAGCCTTATGGATCGCCTCCTGCTGAGTGCTTTTCCGTCGGGCCACAACCCCCCACAACCCCCGGGGAGGAAGTGGGGACAGTTAGGATCCCCATTTTGCAGACAGGCTAATGGAGGCTCAGAGAGGTGAAGTGGTTTGCTCAAGGTCACACAGCCTGGACTGGTAACCGTCTCAAGTTTCTCCAGCTCAGCTCAAAGCTGTTAGGTTCTCCTGCACCCCTCTTTGGCGCTGTGTCCCTTTGACTTCGGTCACCCTGGATTTCAAATATAGATTATACCCTGGAAGGAGCCGTTGGGTTTTTTCCCCCCCGAGTACTGGTTGGCGGAAGGGGTGGGGGCGCCTGGAAGCTGGGCTGAGGGCAGGATTTCAGCTGTGGCTGGAGCAGGTGAGAGTGGGAGGTGTGTGAGTCAGGGGAAGGGGGGCCCCAGGCCTGGCTGGGTAGGGGTCGGGGGGGCACCTGCGAGCCGGCCCCGCTTTCATCCTCCTCCTGCTCCCCCTGAGCTGGGGCTCAGCCTGCTGCGCGCGAAGCTGAGCCCATGGGGACCTTCCTGGTCACTCTGCGCCGTGACCTTCCTTGGCGCCCGCAGGCAGCTGGGCCTTCTCCCCTCGCCTGGGTGTCACACCCCGTGTCCCACCTTGGGCAGCTCATTGAACTCACTGGTCCTCAGTTTCCTCATCTGTAGAGGGGATGATTATAGTTCCCTTAGTGACCTCGAGGTGGGAGAAAGGGTTACCCGGCGTGTTATTTCTGTTTCTCATTCAGCGGACGGGGTCTCGTGTGCCCTGCAGGGGTGGGGAGGAATGTGGGGTGCTGGCTGGACATTTTGGGGTGAGTAGGAGCAGGTGTCCACCCCGGAGGAATCCTCTGGGGTGGGCGATGGGCGAGGGCTGGCTGTGAATAATCCTGCTTGGGGGGGGACAGTCCCCCTTCCAGCTCTCTGGACTGGGACCCTCCCCCTGCAGCACTTCCTGGTCCTGAACAAACATTTGGGGGGTGGGCTGAGGCAGAGGGGCTGTGGAGGACCCCGCTGACCTGGTGAAGGAGGTCATACAGCTGATCTTCCCCTTTTACAGATGGGGACAGTGGAGTTCAGGGCAAGCTTGTTCCAGGGGCTGAGAGAGGCCTCCAGCCCAGGCGGCTGAGGCTGCTGCTGGCTGGGAGAGGGGCTCCATATTTGTCAGGAGGACTGGGGAGACAGCATTTTGAGGGAGCCCCTGCCCCCGCCCCCCACTGTTGTCCTCTGCTTGATGTGCACATATCTTCCTTCCTAAGATGACAGGCGTAAGTCATAATTCCTGGTGGGCAGCGGGAGAGGGGCTGTGGGGAGACAGGTCTCTCGAGGCTGTTTCCGGAAAGTAGAAACTGATTTTTTTTTGTGGGGGGGGAGTATGAATAAGGCCCAAGAGGGTCAGGCCTGTGCCCTGCCCCCATTCCTGCTGACTTCCTTCCCAGAGGCCTCTGGGGCCTTCTCCAACCTTCCCTTAGGATGTGGGCTCTTCCCCCTACCACCTCCAAGAGGCTGTGAAAGGGCCGAGGGGTCAGTGCCGAGCCCTGGAGCTTGGCGGGTGGGGTCCTGGGGTCTCAGGGAGGGTCCCCCAGGTTCCTGGGGGCCACCTTTTAACTCCAGGGCCTGCCACCAGCGGAGTTCCCGCCAGGCCCCCCCCAGCCCTCCCCCGTGGCCGTCTTGACTCCTGGTCTCAAGAATGTGGAGGGCTGCTGGTGGGGGGAAGTTAATTGGAAACAGGAAGACATGGCATTCCTTTCCAGCCGGCCCAGGCCTGGAAAGCGGTGAGGGGGGCTGCCTTTCTCCCTCTGCCGCCCCGCAGGGGAGACGGCTGGGGGGCATGGCTGTGTGGCCCTCGTCCCCGGGGGGCCTTCCCCGCCCTGGGCACCCTCCCTGGACAGCAAGTTGCCTGAGCTGCTGGCCACCATGTAAACCACCCGCCCCGCCCCCCCATGAGAATGGGTTGCCTGCCACTGACTCCCGGTTCTCGGCTGAGCTCAGGGCACAGGGCCTGCCTGGCTTGGCTCCCCGGAGTAGGGTGTGTCACACCAGAGGCACATGGGAAAGAGTGGGTTGACTTGTCCCCAAGGACGCCCTCCTCATTCTTCCCCTAGAACTCCCCCTGCCCGGAATACCACCCTTAGACTTATGTCCCCATTCACTGGAGCCTTTGTGTCTCGGTGACATGCACGTTTACCCCACCAATGGAAGGAGAGAGTTTTCGAAGACATTACCAGGGTGGGGACAATTGTGTTTGTGTGTTCACGGTGCTGGGGATCTGTTGGCAGGAGAAGCGAGAGAGAGTGGCTTCGTTTCTTTAATTGTTCCCAGTGAAACTTCC